AAAGCGTTGGCTAATATACAAATTTGAAACATCGTGCTTAGCAGTTTTCAAGTCATATCAAAGAAATAAGTTTTTCCTTATTTTTTTCCTCGGTTGAATTTTGTTCAGTATGCATCTTTTTTTGTTTTACTTTTTACCACTAAAGAGGGAGCATCTGCTTTTAGCTTGACAATTAATTGTGGGAGTTTTTTCACTTACCGCAAGAATCTTACCATTAATATAAAGGATTCGTTATGAAGTATGTGTGTTTAGATGAACCAAAAAAAATCAAAATTTATCTTGTTCGGATAATTAATTAATGACAGAAAACTTATAATCTATTTTTCGGGTAAAATTGTGTCTTGATATCTTTTGACAAATTAAAAATTTTTATTCTTTTAACATAGCCAATCAAAGATTGGAAAAGAGTAATGATCGCAAGTAAACATAAAAAAAACACTAACTCTTTTTTTAAAAAAAACTTCAATTTTCGAATTTCAAAGAAAAAAATGGATGCTCTTCAAGCTCTTTGAATTTCTAGATTTATAATTGGCGGTTTTTGATAACATTAAGCCAATTTGAGAAAACTGGATCAAAAAGTTAAACTTTGATTTCGCTGGGAAACCTGATAGTTAAATTCCACTTTCGAAAATAGAAATCGTTCACGTTTTTTCGCGCCATTTCCTCATTCGTTTTTGGAGAGTGCTATTTACGTCAATTTCAGCAGATGAATTTCAATTGAGCTCAAAAAGTGCATTATACATAAGTTCATCAATATTTTAAGACTTCAGCAAGACCTATATAAAAGTCTTCACTACATTTATTACTCTTAATAATCAATCCTCAGAGACTTTACTATAAAAACTATAATCAATCAGAAATTATGATTTTAAATTTTTGTTTCTTAAACTCTGATACTAAAAAAATGTGATTATGATTATTTATCAGTCATTTAAACATCTAAATTTGGCACTTATAATTGATTATAATTTTTTAAAAGTACAATTATATTTGTATATTACTTGAAAATTTTGTTTCTACGGATTATATTTTGTTGTTTTGTTTTTGTGAGAAATAAAGCTATCAATCAAAAATATGCTACTTGATATCTTTTCATGTTTTGAAATTTTTATGGCAGACGAACTTCATGCTAGTCGAGCGTTCACCGCTATATTGAGCTGATGACTTTGTTTTACCAGTTTTTATTAAAGAAAACTGTTTCGATTTGGTTGTCCTGCTGATCAGGTTATTGGGTAATCAAATCAAGGTTTGAAGTTACCTTCAAGTAGACCAGGTGCATCTCTTTTATATGACGTTCGTTCAAATGGAACATCTTGTGAATGAATTCCATTGGCGAGAGACCGTTTTTCTGACCATTAATCAAGTATTGGTTGACCTGGTAGGAGCAACAGCCATCTAAAATACATGAGCAGACTTGAACTTTGATTAATTTGTTGAAATATTTGTCAAAAGCCAAATAGCGTAAAAACTGTTTGCGAAAAATAGTTTTATACAACTTATAATTGATCTATTACATAATAAAAAGGCAACAAGACTTGATTTTGCGAAGTAAAATTTCGCCGTTCAAGTATAGTAGGTTCAATAATAAGAAATAGAGTGCTCGAGTACAAAACAGAGCAATGCCTTGAAAAAACGAGTCTAAAGCTAGTACACAAAGTTTCTCATAAGAATGTAGAAAAACGTTAAGCTTCTTTTGATTTTTTTCAAGCCAACGCCTTGAAAAAACGGACAGTCGGAAAAAAAACAAGTCTAAAGCTAGTACACGAAGTTTCTCATAAGAATGTAGAAAAACGTTAAACTTCTTTTGATTTTTTTCAAGGCAACGCCTTGAAAAAACTGACAGTCGGAAAAAAAAGTCTAAAGCTAGTACACAAAGTTTCTCATAAGAATGTAGAAAAACGTTAATCTTCTTTTGATTTTTTTTCATGTTAATATCTAGCAAAGCCTTCTAGCAACCAAAAAAGATTAATTCAGAAAGCTTTAAAATTTTGTTACTTGAAAAACCGGAAAAAGTTGCACTGGACATAGATGTAGCATTTTTAATTTCAACTCTTATTTCTCGTTGAAGTTTTGACACATGATACGCTTAGGTTTTAGCAAAATTTTGTAATTCAACAATGAGGAAAAATTTTCTTAAGTTCTTTGTAAAAGGAAATTGACAAAAGTTGGGAAAATCAAAATTACAATAACTTCAATCGTTCTTTTTCAGGCCAAACATCAACACTAAAAATCAACAGAATAGCAGAAACCAAATTTTTGTTTTAATGGTACATAATTTATTTGGTAAAAAATCAGTAAAATTCGTATGTAAACTGTAAGAATTTTGTTTAAGACTTGGGTTAGTCTCAAAATAATCTGTGTAAAATAAGTAAATAGCTTAAAATAATCTGTAACTAAACTGTATCTATTCTGCATGCAATTAAAAGATAAATTGCCATTAATCCGGGTTGATGTCCATTAATCCGGGTTGACCAAAAGACCAAACCGGGTAGGAGCAACAGCCATCTAAAATACATGAGCAGACTTGAACTTTGATTAATTTGTTGAAATATTTGTCAAAAGCCAAATAGCGTAAAAACTGTTTGCGAAAAATAGTTTTATACAACTTATAATTGATCTATTACATAATAAAAAGGCAACAAGACTTGATTTTGCGAAGTAAAATTTCGCCGTTCAAGTATAGTAGGTTCAATAATAAGAAATAGAGTGCTCGAGTACAAAACAGAGCAACGCCTTGAAAAAACGGTCAGCTGGAAAAAAAAACAAGTCTAAAGCTAGTACACAAAGTTTCTCATAAGAATGTAGAAAAACGTTAAGCTTCTTTTGATTTTTTTCAAGCCAACGCCTTGAAAAAACGGACAGTCGGAAAAAAAAAGTCTAAAGCTAGTACACAAAGTTTCTCATAAGAATGTAGAAAAACGTTAATCTTCTTTTGATTTTTTTTAATGTTAATATCTAGCAAAGCCTTCTAGCAACCAAAAAAGATTAATTCAGAAAGCTTTAAAATTTTGTTACTTGAAAAACCGGAAAAAGTTGCACTGGACATAGATGTAGCATTTTTAATTTCAACTCTTATTTCTCGTTGAAGTTTTGACACATGATACGCTTAGGTTTTAGCAAAATTTTGTAATTCAACAATGAGGAAAAATTTTCTTAAGTTCTTTGTAAAAGGAAATTGACAAAAGTTGGGAAAATCAAAATTACAATAACTTCAATCGTTCTTTTCCAGGCCAAACATCAACACTAAAAATCAACAGATTAGCAGAAACCAAATTTTTGTTTCAATGGTACATAATTTATTTGGTAAAAAATCAGTGAAATTCGTATGTAAACTGTAAGAACTTTGTTTAAGACTTGGGTTAGTCTCAAAATAATCTGTGTAAAATAAGTAAATAGCTTAAAATAATCTGTAACTAAACTGTATCTATTCTGCATGCAATTAAAAGATAAATTGCCATTAATCCGGGTTGATGTCCAATAATCCGGGTTGACCAAAAGTGCGAGTCATACAATTTTTAAATATGGAAAAATGCCAATTATACACTTTTAATGCAATTCCATAGTTACAGAAAATTGCATGAAAGTTCTATGATTACATTTTTCTTAAATAGAAATTTTATGACTAGCATTTTTCTATAAACCAAAATTTTTTTTTTTTTTAGATTTGAATTTCTCAAAGTTGTTTGGTTGTGTTTGTAACCAAAAACAAGTTACAAAAACCTTGGTTATTCAAAATTAGAGTAACCAAAGGTTTGAACGTCTCGCAATAAAACTGCATTGGCAACGGCCTGAAATGTCTTAGTTTTGTCTTACACAATTAATATGACGAAAGTATCAAAATTTTAAATTTTAGCAAAAGTTTTCAACAATAATTATTTCTAAAAACGGATGTTTTAAATTATCAGACATTGATCAAGGCATACATAAATATGCCATACAAAAAAAATTTTTGAGCGTTTTCGAAAAAATTATTAAGCGAAAAGGAAAACAATTCAATATTAGGGTATCAAGGACCAAGTTATGCACACAAAAAATTAGTTTTTGCATGCAGCCTTTGTTTTTGGAAAATGTTCGTTTGCATAAAAAATTCAATTTGCGGCTGAAAAAAAATCAAAAAAAATTATGAGGCAATTTCAAAATTACGCCATCAAAAAGATGCTATTCATATAATTTAGATATATGAAAACTGTTTGATAAGCATTTTTGTGACAAAAAGTTTTTTTTTAATATGATACACCGAAAACAAGAAAAAAATTTTGAAAATTTGATGACACCAATTTATCAAAATTTATGCAATTTGTATGACTCGTTTTTTTTTGATAGACTTAGTTAATAGAATTGTATGATTAGCATTTTTGGTCTATGGAGGTCAACCCGGGAATCTTCCGACTTTCAAAAAAAATTGCGAAACATTATGCTTGGGGTGGTTTTTTATCTGAAAATCTGTTTATGCGTATCTGAAAATCTGTTTATTTAAGTATTTTGGTGCCCGAAAGTCAAATGTCAAAAAAGTTCAAAACCTGTGTTCAATTTTTGTGCATTTATGTGGAGTTGAACATCGCTAATTTATAAATTTTTGGAAAACACACAATATGTTGAGTTTTATAGGATTCGATAGCGGCGGGTTAAAATGTCCGTTAAGTTGAGCAAATGTGGGATTTAATATGTTGCCACAATCACTCACAACAAAGCAACAGGTTATTTTTCGCACTGATTAAGAAAACTGTGTTATAGATTTTGTTTCTAACTCACTGTTTTCCTTGTCCTCATCTCTAAAAGAGTACCAATTGATCTCATGGTTGTAGCGGTTGACGATTTTGTAAAATTCTTCAGTGTCATTTTGTTGCGGCAACCGATTGCTATACTTTGTTGTAGATCGAAAACCCATCAGGCAAAAATAATAACTGAAAGCAAACAAAAACTATATTATGTCCGTCTCATGCTAATTTGTAGGCCAAAAATAACCTTGCGCACTTTCAGGATTGTGAAAACTAATATGTAGTTCACACGCTTTTGATCTTTCCAAAACTCCGTGATCACAAAACTAACTGAAGAATTTCCCGACAATTGGTAAAAATCTGCGATTGACCTATTAAATTCTTCTTTCTTTTTTAAAATAAAAAGGTCACGAACCTATATTTTCTGCACTGCTTTCCCAGATCATCATCGTCGTAAGAAAACACAAAGTCCAAAGATTCTCTAATTTCTGCTCTAGTTGCGTTTTTGACAAAAACTGGAAAAAAAAATAGCATAATACATTCATTCGTTCGTTTTTCTACAGTTTTTTTTTGTTTCTGAATCAGGAATAAAATCAAATTTTTATAATTTTTATATCGTTTTTTCCCCAAAAATCTCTGCTCAAAGGGCTGTATTATGCCAAATCAATCAAACAGCTCAGACATAAAAACAAGTATAGACTTTTAAGTGAAAAAAGTAGAAACTCAATCAGAGAGTTTTTCTTTTTTTTTCAGCAATATGAGCAAAAAATACTCACACAATTGTTTAAGTAATGTGACAACCTTTAAAAAGTAAGCAAGTAACAAAACTGCTCTTGATGAAATTGAGCTTCAACAACTGAGTAAGGCTTGTAAGCTATAGGAGATTTAGGGGGGAAGGTGGACACCCTCGAGAAGTTCCTAGATCCGCGCCTGTGCTTAGAAAACTCTTTTTTGATCAAAATATGTTCTTTGTTTGTGAGAGCTCACATATGAAAAAACTTGCTCTCAAAAACAATTTTGACGACCAAAAAAAGTCGAGAAGTTATTCCGAAATGTTTATTTGAAAATCCCCCCCTTCGAGAAAGTCCTAGATCCGCCCTTTTTTGTAAGAAGGTAAAATATTGACCCAAGTTTGACTATTATTCAGAGTTGTTTAAGATATAAACATTTTTTTGGTCTTTCATTGGACGCTGTCAATGTAAGAACCACCAAAAACTTTTGAAACCGAGCTCCTCCGGTTAAACTTTTACTCACCCGGGAACTTTACGCAAAAAATTTGGTAAATTTTGAATCAAGGTTTCCAAGAAGACATTAACTGTTATTTGAAATACGCAAACTGGCAAGGCAAAAAAAGTCGAATCAAACTCATGTTCAGTCAACTTGAAAATCTTGCCAAGATCTTCAAGATTCTTGAAAATTTATCAAAGATAGCAAAGAAAAGTTAAAATAATTCGGGCTTTTTCCCAGGTACCTAAGCGTCCAAACTAAACGACTTCAAAAACATGTACGCTCGACAGAGGAATTTGATTTTTGTGCAATCTTGAAAATATCTTCAAGATTCTTCAAGGTTTTTCGAAGATTCTTAAATGTATAAAAAAATAAGTTCCTTAATTTTTTTTCGAAAACAATTAATAGCAAATTAATGAGTCTGAATTAATTCCCCGAAACTGCATTAAAATACCAAAACAATGTAAATCTCAAAGAAAAATACTTAAGAATAATTTTAAGATTAATTTTGTGGTTTTTGTAGATTTTTTGCAGATCTTTTTAAATAATTTAGACCTTCTATTTTTTTGAAGTTAAACTCAGAAAAGATCTAGAAAAAACTATAAATTTCATTAACAATTTGCAACCTTGTTGATGTTGATCTAAAGAAAAATTCAGGATTTCTATTTGGTAACCAAAAAATTTTAGAGGCTATTTACTTTATCTGTTGGAATTTGTTTGGTCACTTGTTTTGTTTCAATTTCATCGACAAAATTCCATGTGTTCCATGATATCCTAAAGTGCTTGAATTGACCCAGATTTGTTTCGCATTTCACGGAAATGATCATACTTACTGTACTGGCACTCACGGGTTTTTACAAAATTTCAATTTTTACACTTTTTTGTGTTCCATGATATCTCAAAATGCATAAACTGCCCCGAATTCAATTCCCATTTCACGGAAATGATCATTCTCTCTGATTCTTATAATGTTTTCAATGATTGTGCTAATTATCCATTGAACTTGAAATCATCGGTATTTTCTAAATTTTTCTCTTTTGAAATTTTTAAAATTTTTTAATCGTGAAATTTTGAAATTTTTGCAATTTTTCAAGACAAAAAACTGATGGTTTCAAGTTAATTTTTTTGATTCGTAGGCGCTGAATTTGGTGAAATAAATTACTGTATCTGTATCTGTTTGCCTAAAATTGCTTCAAGGCTGATAATCACCAGAAATTTTTATATTATCATTTGATTTTTTATAATCATAATTAGTCTAATTTTTAAGTGTTTCACAATTGAGTTTTAAAACCGAAAGGTCTGGAGAATTTTAAACTTTTTTTCCAGAAAATTTTAGATTAATCTTCAACAAGAAGGCCGAAAATTTTGTTGAATTCTCGGAAAAACTTGAATGTAGAATGGCCCCATATTCCTCGTAAACCGTCAAAAAAATTTAAATATTGTTTGCTATCTTTGTTTTTTCTTCAAGTATCTTTGAGTTTTCTTGAAGAATCTTTGATATCTTCCAAGATTCTTGGGCAAGAACTTGCCAGAACAGCCAAGATTTTTTGAAAGATTTAACCAAAATTCTACCATTTTTTTCAAAGATTTCAAAGATTGATGGACTAAGGAAGCCAAAGTAATTTTGAATGATGGACTAAGGAAGCCAAAGTAATTTTGAAAAAAGGTAATCCTTGAAAAGAATTTCATTCAACATTTTTCCTATCATTCAGCGATGTTTGATTATTTGGTTACAAAATCAAGGATGTTATGCTTTTATGATGAAATTTAAGGCTGTCAAAAATATTTTCCTGTCAATTGATCAATATTTCTATATCTAATATTTATACTAAGCCATGGACACTTGAAATCTGGTTTATTATTTCAAATTTAAAACTTGCACCATTCCTAATTTTCTTTGATTGTAACAAATTGCATTGTAGTTTGAAGTTATTAGCATAAGTAAAATAATTTTGTTGCTCATTTTTTCCTCTCGGTGAGTTCTTCTCTGTATAAATTTCGACAATCTCTACAGGGAGGTTGGCAAAAAAGCTAGTCATACAATTCTCATACTAAGGCTTATACATTTCGCCCAATTTAAAAATTTCATGAAAACTCCATGACTTACATTCTCCCCTAAATAGTAATTGCATGGCTAGCATTTTTCCATAAGGAAGTTGTATGTTCATAAAAGATAAAAGGCTAAGAAGATTTTAAAAAAGTATAAATAATGAAAAACAGGCAAAATACGGGCTAATCAATACTACCAAAGATATGAAAAAATTGTACATTTTTGCAAAAATTCCGGAAGTTTTTTCTATGATTTCAACAAAAAACTTTAATCAAATAACTGAGTTTTATGCATAATCGATTGGTTTTTTTTGGTAATGATGACAGTTTTAATACTTGTTTTACCAATCAGCTTATGAAAAATAAAGACTTTTGGTTTTTCTGCTCTTGAATTTTTTCTGCTAATAGACTATTTTCTTGTCGCTCCACCTCCATAAACCTCAAACTACCTTAAAAATTCAAATTTCAAATTTTTTGCATTTTGAGCGGATTCTGTGAGAGGTTGACAATAATTTATTGCGGGAACCGTAACGTGATTTTTAATTTTTTTTATTGTATTGGGTTCTACAAACAATTAACTAAACGTTTTAATCCACAAAACAGCATTTGTGGAATCCAGAACACTTTGGAACTCAAAAACAAATATAATTTCAGTACAAAATTCAGTACAAAAAACAAACAAATTAAAAAACATTCACGTTTTCAAAGTAAAATCACGTTTTTGTAGGCTAATAAGCAATTTGATGCGTAACGAACGTATCTTTTTACTCGCTCGATATCAGACAAAAAAACTTACTGATCCAAATTAGTGCGAGAAGAGCGGACCACCGGTTCATTGTAACAAAGTCTCAAGGTTCATTATAAGTTTGACTATTTGAGCAGAATAAATATTATCAAAACAATATCAAATAAATTTAGCTCCAAAATTCAGTAAAACAATTCATGGAAAGGTCAACTTTCAATTGAGTTCGTTGGATTACCATTATTAAATAATAAGAAATATAGTTTATGAAAAAACTCATTAATCCAGTAAAATCTCAAATAAGAGTGCATGCAAAAAAAATAAACTATAGGCTTGATAAAATATTTCGATTTGAAGAGCTCTTCACGTTTACAAAATCTCTTCTTAAACCACAAAATTTTGAAACTAAAGCTAGATTGTAGTTGCCCGCTTTGACAAAAAAAATTGCAATCACTTTTTTAGATAAAATAAATAATGTCTCTTAATTGGTTTGAATCGATTTTAATCGACCCAATTCGTTTTATTATACAGATTTTACACAGATTTTTTGATCATCAGTTATGAGTAAACTTGAGAAGCTAATTATAATTTAAGTCTTTCAGTTCAGATTTTTTTTTGCTGATGCATGACCTGAAAAAATGCATCTCCATTTTTGTCATGCACATTTTTTGCTGCAAAAACTATTTGTCTCAAAGTTAAGCATTTATGTTTTAAATCTGAGGCAAACAACTGCCTCTTACGATTGTAAATCACTGTAAGATTGACATAGGTTTTTTGAGCACAAAATTTGCTCATAAATGTTAATCAAACAATCAATACAATAACCTTGCGGCTACAAAATTTACTTTTGTATGACCGAAAAAAAAATCAGTATAAATCAGCCTTGGATCATTTTCAGCAGAGACGGTACTTATTATGGCAGATTTACGCGTATTTGGTTGAAATGCAATTTCGCGTTTTATACCGCGTTTGTTGAGACACAAGGCAAGTCAGCCGCGTTTTTCAACGCGTTTTTCTAGAAATGATGCGAACTGTTGTTTGGTGAAACGGATATTCGGATACACGAAAATGAAATTTTTTTGAAGACTGTGGTTGGGAAGTTTTGTGCTACTTGCACAGTAACCGGTTACTCTTATTGTTCTGATCATTGAAAATAGGGAAAAACTTTGGATTCGGGTGTGTTTTTGTTTTTTTTTGCAAAATCAGCTACCACAAATAATCATGGGACAGGGTTGAGTGATATATCATGTTAAAGCCCTTTCAGTCGTGATTCAAACGACGTTATGAAATCTCAAAAAATTCTCGCAACGTCGAGAAAAAACTAGTTGGAAAATTTTGACTAGCTATTTAATAAGGTAGTTAGTAACTGCAATATCTTATGTAAGTTTAATTGGCTCTTTTTCCTTCCCCCCCCCCCCCACCAGGGAAGGAAAAAGAGCCGTTTAATTTAAGATGTGAAAACTTATTTTACTCAAGTATAGTCAGGTAGACTTTTAGCGAAATTTTCATCCCCCCCCTCTGCAAAATTTTACAAATGAAAAATTTGTTCACATCATTCGATTGTTATGAAAATTGGCATACGGACTAATAAGGCCATGGCAAACATATTTGGTCTCCATAATTAACCTTGTAAAACCACTCGTTACACGGTAAAACTGATGCTTGTGTGAGATGGGGAGGGGGGGGGGGAAGGAAAAAAACCCGAGCCATTTTCAGGGAAGTTGGAACCAGAATTAGGTTCAAGATTTGTAGAAATTGGAATTAAGGGCAATAATTTTAAGTTTTTGTGTCAACTTTGTGTCCTGAAAAGCCAAAAAAAAACTATTATGACAAAGTTTCATGCAAAGCTCGCACAATTTAGGGGATGGGGTGGTTTCCGATACAAAGCCTCCACATGCCAAATTTGAAAGCAATCGAACGATCTTACTAGTAGTTTCGAGAGAGGTGAAAAAAGAGCCGGGTGCTAGCTTAACTTGGGGATTGAGAGAATGCGTTTTTACAGAAAAATCGATTTTAATTTCCATAATCACTGCTTTTAACCACACGTGCGTTTTACTCATTTTGCAGTTCATCTGGCAAACTTCATTCACATCAAACGAACGCGTGAGTCCGAATTGGCAGAAAATGAGCAAGAAACTGAGTAGTCTGTTCAGCAAGAAGAAAAGCGGAGGAAGTGGATCGGCGCCTGAGGGAGGAGGAGGTGCTGCTGATGACTTATCAACGGGGGGAGCAGGAATGGGATCCAAGTCAGCAGGAGGCTCCTTAGGTGGATCCGGTCTTGATGACCCAGGAGCTGGGGGAGGTGGAGGTTCCCTGTCAAAAGGCGGATCTTTGGGTGGATCTGGACTCGACGGTGGTGGTGGGGGTTCGTTAGGAGGCGGGGGATCTGGTTTGGATGGAGGTGGGGGTTCTGGTTTGGATGGAGGCGGTGGTTCTTTAGGAGGTGGTGGGGGATCTTTATCAAAAGGTGGATCACTAGGTGGTGATGGATCTGGTTTGGACGGAGGCGGAGGGTCTTTAGGAGGTGGTGGGGGATCTTTATCAAAAGGTGGATCCCTAGGAGGTGGCGGGGGATCTTTATCAAAAGGTGGATCCCTAGGAGGTGGTGGTGGATCTTTATCAAAAGGTGGATCCCTAGGAGAAGGTGGGGGATCTTTGGGAGGTGGTGGGGGATCTTTAGGTGGAGCGGGATCGGGATTGGATGACAAAGCGGGGGGATCATTGTCTAAAGGTGGATCTGGTCTGGATGGTGGGGGATCGCTGTCCAAAGGAGGCTCACTTGGAGGAGGTGGTTCTGGTCTAGATGGTGGAGGTGGATCGCTATCTGGAGGAGGTTCGTTGTCCAAAGGAGGATCCTTGAGCGGCGGTGGAACTTCTCTTGCTCCCGGTGGCTCAAAAGGAGGAAGCAAAGCTTTCGGAGGAGGAAGCTTCAGTGCTAAAATTTCGAAATCAAAACCTGGATCACTATCTCAAGGTGGAAAAGGCTCTCTAGGAGGAGAGGGATCATTGGGAGGAGGAGGATCGCTCGGTGGAAGCAAGGACTTAGGAGGCTCTCAAACACTAGGAGGAAGCAAAGATCTTGGTGGAAGTCAATCTTTAGGTGGTAGCAAAGACCCCGGAGGCAGTCAGTCTTTAGGAGGATCGAAAATGTCCTTAACTCCTGGCGGCGAATCAATGGGCGGCGGGGGATCCAAATTGGGCGGTGGCTCAATGACTGAGGGCGGGAAAGATTCTATTCAACCAGTTAATACTAGAAGAATGGACGAACCAAAGCGAGGTGCAAACATCATCACAGGTCCCAATGGACAAGCCGTCGCTGCTGAAGACTACAAGGAGCATTGTGCACATGAATTGACCTTCAAAATTGGAGATAAGCTAAATATAATTCAGTACACTGAAGATCCTAAATGGGCAGTTGCCCGAACTGCCAATGGTCGAAAAGGGTTAGTTCCTGTGAGTCATTTTGAAAGGGCTCCCGCTGCGGCTCTTGAGTCTATGCAGGTGTATCTCGGAAACTTATCAAAACCGAAAGCCGAAGAGATGCTACGTACGGAACCCTACGCTGACGGAAAATTTCTCGTTCGTGAGAACCCACAATACCAGGGGGAAGTAACGTTGTCGGTTGCTTTCTCGGATCGTACTTCGGGTGCGCAGAAGTTCGCCCACTACCGAGTCGCTAAAGACGAGATGGGGATGGTATTCGTGGCCGAAGAAAAGAAGTTTACGAGTGTGCGACAGCTGATCGACTTCTACATGAATCAGCAGTCGGGTCTAGTGACCAAGCTGGGCATATGGTTCAAAACTCATACCGACAAGAAAAAAGTTAGAATACTTGATTGATTTTTCTACTTTCTGCCTAAATTTTTTGTTTTCAGTTTGAAGCTTCGATATATGGCTAAAATTAGCCAAAACTATTTAAAATAAAATTCTTTTTCCAAGTCTATCAAAAATGTCAAACATCTGAAAATGCAGTTGATAAACTCACAAGCTACAGGAGGAGACCACAACCTATTTCAATTGTAGTTTAAAAAATTCAAAGTACCCTGGTTTACCAAAAATGCTTGTCATGCAATTTTCATAAATGGAAAAATGCGAATCATACACTTTTCACGCAATTCCATAAATACAGAAAATAGCATGAAAAGTCTATGATTAGTGATGTTTCATATATGGAAATTGTATGACTAGCATTTTCTTATAAACGAAAAAAAAAGATTTTTTTTTTTGAAAACTTAATTTCTCAAATTTTTTGAAATGTTTTCGTAACCGAAGACAAGTGACAAAAAGCATGGTTTACTCGGCACTAGAGTCACAAAAGGTTCGATCGTCTCGCTTTTACAATGCATTGGAAACGACCTGAATTGTATCAGAGTTTTACACAAATGATATACTGAAAGCATCAAACTTTTAAATTTTGTCAAAAAATTCAACGATCAAGGCATACATAAACATGCCATACAAAACAAATTATTTTTAGCGCTTTTGAAAAAAAGCAATCGAGAGAAACGTAAGAAAAATCTCCATTTTTTTAAATATAAAATTCGATTTGCGGTTTAAAAAAAAATAATTTTTTTTGGAGCAACTTCAAAATCCTTTGGAAACGTTTTTGTTGTCGCAGTCAAAAAACGCTTGTCATACAATTTCCATATATGGAAATTATTTGATCAGTTTTTTTTCTCATAATTTTTCTTTTTTAATTAGAGGGTACACCGACTTGTATGCCAAAACAAGAAAAAATTTCTTTGAAAATTCGATGACACCATTTCAGCAAAATGTATGAAATTTGTATAAATAGTATTTTTTGGAAGATTTAGTTTATGGAATTGTATGATTAGCATTTTTGGTCCACCCGTGCAAGCAGCGCCTTGAGTTACGAAAAACTTTAAGGCTTTTGATTAGTAGGCATATTGCGGTCAGCAGGCATATTAGTAGGCATATTTTTTGTGAGATCAGAAAATCAGTCGTCTTTCTCTGGGGCTAATCTCATGACATAAAGAATGGATGCATAACATTTCTCATCCAATCAATGTCCTTTAAGTTGTTCAAAGTTGGTTGATTTTTTTGCTTCGTTCTTTCGAATTTATGAACACTCAATTCTGATTGGCTGATACAATTTCGGGCATTCAGACCGTCAAGTACAAGGGACTACTAGGTCTTTGTCTCCTTCAAAACTTCAAATCGTGTTTTTTGACTGTGGAGTTTGATTAACTGTTTCGATTTTCGGTGATGAAGGGGCTCTTGACTGTAACCTCGGTTACTATGATAATTTTTGCCTTCTGATTATCAATTTTTAAGTCCCAAAAAGAAGCAGAAACAGCTTTCAAGATATAAAAGTGGGGCATTTTTTTTTCGGCTCTTGTTACTCCCCCATCCCCCACCTTGCACGATCATCAATTTTATGGTGTTATGGTGTACACAGTGACGAGTGGGCGTAGAAGGTTAATTATGTAGACTAAAACTTTTGTCATTGCCTATTTAGTCCTCGAGTCAACTTTGATAACAATCGGACAATGTGAAAATTTTTTAGTTATGTTAAAATTCTCCGTCATGGGGGGGGGAGTTTGTATGATTAGTATTTTTTCGAAGATTTAGTTTATGGAATTGTATTGATTAGCGTTTTTAGACTATTGAGGTCAACGCGGGTCGTAGGAAAAATAGCTGTTTTTTTTTGCAGAACGCGACGATAGAGCGTGGCGAGGTGCAGACTGAGGCGGAGATAGGGAGAGGCCACTATGGGAAAGTGTACAAGGGCAGGTACCAGACGAAAGAAGCCGCAATCAAAATACTTCATAACAGGTCAACTTTTTGGCAATTTTTTTTTCAAAGTTGAGACGTCGAGTAACAGGAAAAATACGAAGAGTTTTTGATGATAGCAAAATACTAACTAGCTCATCACTTACAAAATTAATAAAAACTTGTCAACAAAACTCTGACAAGTTAATTAAGGACTGCTTAAAAAATGTGACTCATTCTCGTGAAACGAGCAAATAATATCTGATTTAGATCGGCTGAAAATGCGGTGGTGGAGGACGGAGGCCGAATGGCAAGTGTGGACCACCCGAACGTCGTCAAGTACTTCGGGTTTGTGCAGGACGAGATCTTCTGGGTGGTGATGGAGTACTGTTCCAAGGGCAGTCTCCTAGAGATCCTAAAGGGGTCCAAACCCCCTCCTGATAAACTGAACACGGTACTCGTTTGAAGCTGATTGATTTAACACGGCTAGTTTCTGCAGTTGTTTATTATAAAATATCTCTCTCGCTTAACGAAAACTGCAGATGAACTTTTGTTCTTAAGTACTTGTTAGTGGGTTTACCAGGTTAAAGAAGTGGTTTGCAGTAGCCGGAGAGAGTTTTTCGTGAAAGTTATGGGAAAAGAAGGTCGGAATTGATGGGCGATTCCATGAAAAAAAATGGCTTGGGCGGAAAGAATGTTAATGGAGCTCAATTTAAAACTCACATAACCCAACAATTTTTTTTTTGGTTTTCTGCGAACTGCAGAAGAGCTTTCTAAGGCTTTTAGGTAACATATACGAATTTGTAATTAGGGTCAAGTCAAAAAAGGCTTTTTATAGCAAAGCTTCGTCAAAGCATATATAATGAGACCTTAAAAACAGTGGTAAATACTGGAACGGTACTTCCTGTGTCTAAGCGAGTACTGTGGATATGAAGTACATGACGGGCGTGGCAGCAGGTATGGCCTGTCTAGAGGGAGATGGGGTCATACATCGGAACTTGAGGTGCGCCAATCTGTTGATCTCGGAAGATGACACGTGCAAGATATCAGACTATGGCATGGGTACCAAAGAAGACATCAAAAAAGGTCAGCCGTTCGTTCGTAGTTTTTACACTTAAGTGCACAATGTTGGCAAAGTCGGGGTTTTTGGGCAAACTAACCGACCAAAAAAAAGACTGAACGGACCGTGTTAAACTGAACGGAAAGATAATTTCTGATATCTAAATTAGCGGACTAAAGATGATTACCTTGATTCAGTTTCGTTATAACCGAATATGAGTTCGCGCAAAAAAAGGTATCGCTATAACTAAGTCGAAAATAAATCGTGATCAAGTTTGGCATTCGTATTTTAATCATGAAAACTATAAATGTAATAAAATAAAACTTTTTTCTTATCGAGATTTTTTTTTGAAAATCATCCCCCCTCACACGCCATTTAAAGTACAAAGCGAGAAGTTTTGTTCTTAGTAGCAAACCATTTATGGCTAATAAGCTTCGTTCAACCAATTTAGAACGATTTCTATGAGGGATTAAACCTACGCTTACGCGTTAAAAGCGCAAAACATTTCGCGCGTTAATTGTCCCATATGAGTTAGGACCGAGTTGGTTAACTCATAGAGTAATTTCGGATAGGGTACACCGTCTGCTCGTCACGCTATCTTATTTTCGGCCGGATAGATTCGTGCAACTTCTTAGTCTAATACCGATCCTAATCTTACTCTTATACTATCTAGTCTCAGGTTGTTTAACTAGTCTCTGCTAGGCTCAATAGATCTAGGGTATACTGGTTTATTGCGGCTGCTGAAGTGCTCGGGAGAGTCCAACTAATTTCTAAGTTAAATTCAAATCTCTCTGGTGCTGAAATTACAAGTAACTTCAGCACTTACAAATAAGTGGGTTGTTAGTTAGATGGATCATGATTGGTTAATATTAAATACTTTACATTGGTAAAATATCTAAATTATCCAATCATAAAATGTAGTCTAGATCAGGTTCCACCCATCCGGGTTTTACAGAGTTTTTTAGAATAGTTCTTCTGCAATTCGAAGGATGGATGATGGACGTTGGTGTTTGGCGAACATCATATTTCTTCTGTTTCCTCTTTGTTAAAGAAGTTCCAGGAAGCTGGAGTTAGAGACATAAGACGTTGTGTCTTCTAGTGACAACGACTAAGTCTTTGCAACAAACTCAAATCTGATTTCAGAATGGTTTGCTATGTCAGGTTTTTCTGTTCTGCGTGGAGAACTTCTTTTGTGTCTGATCTAATTTGGGAATGGCGTGGAGATTGTGCGTGGAGGGGATGCCTGGTTACTCGGATCTGTACGTATACTTGAACATCGAGGTGGTCATTGGTCTAGTTCAATGAAGTCCTTTTCTGCGAAGTCAAGTCGTACTCTAAATCCTTTGAGTTGTGATTGTGAGTGGCATATCGATTGTGGTTGGTCATTCTCTCTCGAGTGTAGTGGGGTCGTTTTGTCTTTAGATGTTCGTCCTTGGTGTTGTATTCTGATCTATGTATTGCATAATGTAATTTACATTTTATAAAACATTTATTAGTTTAATATTTTTTAATTATGATTTTAGTTAGTTGTTTTCACAAAAGCTTTTTGTTTTAGTTCGGTTATTTTGAAGAGTTACTCACACTTGAGTAGCTCTTATTAAAAATAGAGGTGTGGTCACAAAGCGTGGATGTAGCGCGGTGGGTTAGGCCGGCTATAGAGCATGCTCAGGACGTCCTTCCTGGTGGGTTAGGCCAGGAGTGGGAGTATGATTTCATGCGGTTTTTGTGAGGGGTCCTGTTATGTGACAACGTTTTATGTTGGGTTTGTTGTGGTTTTTCTTATGTCTTGTTGGTTATGTCCTTTTTCCAAAAATCAAATTGTTCGTGGTATGGGTTTGTCTTTCGACTTTTTTGTGTTTTATTATTTCTTTCTTAGACTTTATAATAGTCTTCAAAAGAATAAATTATCCAGTTTTAAACTGGGTTAATCCGGTTTGGGTACCGTTGGTTTCCTTTTCTTAGTCATGCTGTTATTCTATGATTTGTGGTATTTAGTAAGCTGCGTTGGTTAGTTTTGTTTAGTATGTGATTCCTTTCCAACCGGGTTAAAGGAAAGTTTGAAACATGTTATTATATGTTAGAGTTGTTGAGTGTGAAAACTTGAAACTGAAATTCATTATTTTAAACAATTCTTCGTGGGCGAGCTGTGCGAGTGTGGATAGAATTTCTGTGCGAATGAATGAGAATATCAAAAGGTTAGTACTGCATTTGCTTCTTATTGATTTACTGCATAGAATTTGGAAATTTACTGCTAGTTATGGGGGAATTTTAAGTTACAAATTTTCATCATAATTAGATTTACTGCTTGTGGGGAAAATTTTAGAAATGAATTTACTGCATTGTTATTAAATTTATAAATTTATAAGTGTAAGAGATTAATAGAATTGTTGAAATCTGTTTGATGAAATTTGCGATCTTTATTTGTTTTTTTGTGGTTTTTGTAGGTGATCGTCGGATGAAAGCTAAAAATCTAAAGAAAACATGGATAAAGAATGGTGAGTTTTTAATATTTTAATTAGTTAGTAATATTCATTTAATTCATACTTACCTGTTAGTCGTCGGGGAAAAAACCGTGGGGGAAGATGTCGTGGATGAGATCGGAATTTGTTAGTAGTTTAGCTAAGATGCGGATGATATTTTTAGTCTGAAGCAGTGGCCAAAGCAATTGAAGTGCCTTGATAGTGGTTAGTTCTTCAGTGCCAACTGCAAACTCATAAGGTGTGTTTTGGATTAGATTATATAATTTGTGATTGAATTTAGTGTTGTTGATGAATTCTAAAATTGGGATTTCTATAGGTTATACAAACTCGTGCGGGATAAGGAAGGGTCGGGATTCTTCGGCGTTGAAGGTCTTGGTGATGGGACAGAAGATGTACATTTGGGTTATGGGATCATAATTGCGAAGAATACCATGAAGGTGGTTAGTATCTTTAATGCAATATGTGAAATTTAGGAAAAATGGTGAAGTGTATTTGGAATTAATGAATTGAAAGCGATGGTGTGGTTGTCTAGAGGGTGTGTGTAGGTCAAAGTGATTTTGGATGAAGCGATAATAACTATATGTGTGGGTTTGTTTAGTGCGCAACATAATATCGTGTGAGCAGTGTAAATCTCTTTCGTGTGGTGCAAGGAAATGAAAGGTTAGTGAAAATATTTGGAAGCGTTCTTTAAAACTTTCGTATGCTTGTGTGTCTGTTAGTGCTTCTGAAATAATGTGATCAAACTTTCGGTCGAAGATGTTTAGTGTAAATATATATGGTGTCTTGATGAAAAATTTCTCGGTGATTTGTGGGTTAGCGAAGCGATCGTCGTCTAAGAATTGATCTTGGTTAGCTCTGATGATGTTGTGATCATAGTATTCGAGTGTATATTCGTTAGCTCTAGGTGCAGTGTGTGTTTTTAGTGATTTTTTATATCCAACGTAAGTAAATTGTCTAGCGGTTAGTGGTGTAGTGAGTTGATATAGCATGTCCGTATTTCGCTCTATATCGATGTGAGTGTTAGATAAAGGTAAGCAAAGAGGGTTAGTAAAATGATAATATGAGGTCCAAGAGAGAGTGGGCATTAAAACGTATTCATCTACAAAGTTGCGTGTTTCGTTAGTGTCGTGGGGGGTGTTTAAGGTGTATTGTGGGAATGAGGGTAAGGTGATGGCTAAAAATTCTTTTGTGTTAGTATGCTTGGGGTGGTTGATGTATTCACGGGCTGTTCCTGGTTTTGCTGGGAAAGGATGGTTGGGGAACTTTCTTTTAAAAGTGCGGTAAGCTCTATTAGTGTTGAGTGAAGATTCAGTTGATGTGGATGATGGTGCTAATGATTCAGTATAATTTGAAGAGGGTGTAGGGGTAGGGGGGTTGGATGAATTTATTGTGGAGGAGATTTGGTTTATGGTTGGGGTATTAAGGTGGTAGGGTTGTTGTTGAAGGGTAATAAAATTATCTAGCTCTGGGGAGATTCGGGGGGTGTCTGGAGATTGAGATGATTGGTCAGAATGGTATGAGGAGTAGGTTGGGGTAACTTGGGAAGCATAAGAGGGTGTGGGAGTAATGGGGTCAGGGTTATTGGATAATATGGGTTGAAAAGGGGGTTGAGAAAAATTAGAAGAGTTATGAAAATTATTGGATGGGGATGGTTCTGAGTCGGCAAATTCATCGGGGGTTTCAATATTCGGGTTATTGAGTTGTGAGATGGAATATAAAACTGAGATGTGTGAATTAGTGTCGGAATTCATGCCTGATGTTACATTACTAGGTGGAAAATCGGGTGGCGGAAAAGCAAAAAGTGGTATTATTGGGATTGGAGAGGTAAGATTGGTTGGGTGGGAATTTGATCGGTGTAGTGATCCAAGTTGGCGGCTCATCGTGGGCTAAAAAAATGATTATTTTGAGACTGAAAAGCGGTGGTATGGGGTTGTTCAATAATTTGTTCATAAGTATTATCATCTTGTGACTGGTGTGTCATTATATGTTGAATGGGACTTTGTGATGTGGTGAGTCGAAAATTTGGATTATGTGTGATGGCTAAATTTCGAAAATTTCGTGGGACTAGGGATAGTGGATGGTTATTTGGTAGGGGTGGTAATTGTGGTGCCGTTGGCGTTATGTCTACATTGTTATGTTCTTCGTCGTATGTATTTTGTCGTGTTGCTATTTTTGTGTTATATTCTTTTATTTGTGCGTCTAAAAGAATTTTGTTTATAGATGTAGAAAATATTCCAAAAAATCCTGCAAATAGTATGCGTGCTACACTTGCCTGTCTATTGACTTGTGTGTGTATAGCACATGTGTTGTAGATTCCTTTTAAAAGTGAGAAAAGAAATCCAATAAAGTTGAACATTGCGTATAAAATAGTCAATTTTTCTAAGATGTAGTAGGGCCATCCTAGAAAATCGAGGATCTCATTTTTGAGACCAAAATTTTTAGCTGAGTGTAACAAAGCTAAAAATGTTAATTGGTGATATATCTTGGGGACGGTATTTTTCACCGTTTAGATATATATAATCTTTAATGTCTTTAAAATATCCGCT